TTCTTACATATCTAGAGTCCTTAATGGCACCAAGTCTCAAAAAGTCTTGCATTATCTTTTTCAATTCTTCAAGCTTCAAACAAGAATCTCCATATTGGGCTCTCTTTCTCTCTCTAAATTGTTCTCTCTCTCTCTCTCTAGAGTTCTCCTTCATATATTGAGCTCAAGAATATAAGCTTTATCATATTTACATTATATATATATATATATATAGGCTCAATTAGTTTGATTAATTAATCAAAGCTTAAGTTAAATAATTAGAGCTTAGGTTAATTGAATTTAATCTAATTAATTTGATCTGAATCAATTTTTAATTAAATTTCATAATAGACTTTAAAAATGACGCTGATCACAATAAAGTAATCAATTTTGATTTCTGTCACCTTTATGTCCCTTAATTTCAGATTTTAGCAAGATTCAGAACAGATTTTCCTACGATGAACAGATATGGATTCAAAACTTTTGCAACACATATAATTAGCATTCAAATCACATATGGCACATATCATAATTAAAATTAAACACATAATTAAATTAATATAATTATGATATGCATTTTGGGGTCATTACGTTAGGCTTGTACAAATAGATATAATAATAACAAAAGTAGAAGCTCTTAGCTCCAAATCCTCCCAAGTTACTTGTAACAATCTCGACCTAAGATTAACTATTAAACCATGTGTACGGGGAGCAAATATTCCGGCGTGCCCGTATTCCTTTCTTCCGAGTTCCGTCGATATCCGATCACCTGCAAGCAAATAACGGTGAGCTACCCGGCGGTGTGTGGCCGGAAACACCCTCCGACGATCAAATTAGCACACACCTTAGAGGGTATAGAGAGAAGGGAGAGAGTGTTTGAGTGTAAGAAATTCCTTACAGAGTGTTCGTGTGTCCCGTATGGGGGGGCGCAGTCATGCTTACATACCTTCTGTGCCCCATATCCACTCCCTGTCATCTCCTGACACGTGGCTCTGCTATCCCATCTGTCAGCATAAACCACGCCGTTCATCACCTACTCTCAACTGCCTGCCAGCATAGCTGGAGCTCGGCAGCCGAGCTGCCCTACCTCGGTCATACCATGCTTCATACCTTAAGCGCCTGGCCGGATAACCGAATGAAGGACCGGGCTAGGCGGCATCTCGGCAAAGCTTAACCCGGGCTCCTCCTTTGGTCGGCCTCCTCGCCGGTCAATCAACTACCTCGGCTGACCGCGCCTTTCCGAGCGTCGGCCTCTCGGTCTGTCTGGTCTCGACAATCCTCGGACCGAGCATCCCGGTCTGACCGGTCACTTCCTGGCCGAGCACCTTCTGCACGGTCCGGGGCAGCACACAGTCCAAACTCTGCCCGGCCCAAGTTCTGGTAGCCCATCTCCGGGTGAACAGTCGATCATTTCGGCCCAATGCTCTGCTGGGCCCTCAACTTGTTCGGTCTACACCTCGGCCCAGCACCGGAGCATAAATCACCCTCTCACCATGATTAAGGATGCCTAATACGTAATTAAGATGAAATCCTATGTTAATTACATGTGCATATTATTGTTTGTGTTTATATCTATTTATCGTAGAAATATATGTTTCTGTTTCTGTTTTGTTCTGTAAATTGATAGCCTTATTAGCATCCGATCACAAAATTAACTTGAATTATGTGTTATTTGGAATTTTTATAATTTTATGGTAGGCCTAAGTAAAATCATATTCGGAATGATTAAATTAGAATAATTAATGTCCATTTAATTAGCTTTAATTAATCACCACTAATCAAGCCTATATAAGGCTCCTATATGTGTCATCACTCATCTTTTTTTCCTTAGTCACACCTTTGAGCCTACACACACACAACAAATGTGAGAAAGGGAGAGAAAGGAGAAGATTTGAGCTCAAACTAAGGGGATTTGCTAAGAAGAAGAAGAATTGGACTTAGAGACTCAAGAATTAAGCCTCTAGCTCTCACATCGAAAAATTTAGGTAAGAATTCAACCCTTTAAATGTACAATTTTGATGCCCAATCGATGAATTCATGAGAATGAAGATGTATAAGACGAGGATTGAGCTAGAAATGAAGGAGTTTAGATGACACCATGCATGCATGTGCATTTCATGGAGTTTTAATGTTGTTTTCAAGAGAATTCCCTCATGCATGTAATAATTCTAGCTTGGTTTTAAGAATTCACCACATTTCCTATCAAATGATCTTAATTGATCATGTTTTGGAAGGTTTGAATTCATATCAATGCATGCATGTTATGTTCTTTAAACGTTAAGCTTGAGTTTGCACAATTAACTTACTCTTGGGCCTTGATTTTGAGAAATGGTTTTGAATCCAAGATGTTTTCCAAGTTTACACAAGTTTCCTTGAGTTTTTAGCCCAAGAAAACTTGATTTGCCGCATTGAGTTGGGTTTTGAAGCTTGGAAGCAAATCTGGAAATTCGAGAATTCTGCTTCTACGCTCAAGCGTCAGAATCTGCGCTCAAGTGACCATTTTGTGATCTTACACTTCCGCTCGAGCGACCAAAAGTTGGCTCAAGTGTGAAATGCATGCTCTCAGAAGTTCACACATTTTGCAGACCGCTTGAGCGACAAGAGTTGCGCTCGAGCGAAGACCTTAGTCTCATGGTCGAGCGACCATCGAGCATGCGTCGAACGAAAAAAATCAAGCAACCAGTACTTTTTTAGAGTTTACAGAATGCTCGAACGAAGGAAGTTGTGCTCGAGCGGCCCCTCACATTTTTGATCCACCGCTCGAGCGAAGGAAGTTGCGCTCAAGCGAGGCCCCTGTTTTCAGCATATTTGACTAAGTGTTTCAAAGTGCATTTTGGCATCCTCGCATCCTAGGAATTCCTAGGCCATGATTAAGACACAATAATGAGGGTGTGTTTTGATGACTGTAATGAATTCTGAGGGTGTGTTTCAATATGTACATGTTATGTGTTGTTTCTAGGTCACACGCCATAAGCTATCTGATCTATCTATTTCATTTGTTCTAGAATTGGAGCCATCTATGAGTAATAACTTTGTAAAGCTATATGCAATTATAAGTATTTTCTGAATGATATAAGATGATCTGTTTTCTGAAACATTGTTTTCTACATAAATGAATGGTTGTCCAATATTTCTGAAATGTATTCGTGACATTTTTAGCTTCAAATGACATCTGTTATCTGTTATGTTATGTCCCAATTATGGGTCAACTGTACGTCTCATGAGCCAAGTGTTATGGATCCTTTTGTATACATCCCTTTGTGGGTCAATTGTACGTCTCATGAGCCAACTGTACCGTTTTCATGCACATGAGTCAACTGTAAGCCTTCATGGCCGTCCCTTTATGGGTCAACTGTTTTTGCTAGTGCTAATGGATGTACCATGTATGATTAACTACAAATCCTGATTATGAGTACAATACTGAATCTATTTCTGTTATGAACTCTGATTTTTGAACATGATTATGAATTCCATTTTCTGTAACTATTATGGAAAACATTCATTAAACCCTTTACTCAGTTATTATTCACTGGGCTTTTATTCACTATTTATATTATGTATGTAGGTGAGCAGGCACGTGACCAGGCCTAAGCTGCTGCCTAGAGAGTTTACTTTTGTCAGCCAGCCACCGTGTCTCCCTGGGAGGTTCCCATTTGTCAAGTCAAGTTTTGTAAATCATGTGAATGATGTTTTTGTCTATCTGTACTTTGGGCTAAGTCCCTTATGACACTATCTGTATCTATTTGGTGATACATGATGTATGAAAGTTTGACATTATGTATAAGTTTCAAATCTTTTTTGTCCCATGTATGTCTGCACAGCTCCATGGACTATATATGTTTCTCTATTTGCTTCCGCTAGCCCCTATATTTCATGATATATTCAGGTCAGAGGCCTTTGGTAATCCGAAGATTACTGACTAGTTACAACATTAAACATATAGGGGTGGGTTTGGATCATGACAAAGTGGTATCAGAGCACGTGTCATACATACACACGAATCCATATGAGCTTTAGGATGTCCTAGAAAAGAAGTAGGGGCATTCCATCTGCATGTGTGAGTGTGTGCTACAGAGAACTGAATCTGAATATGAACATGAGAAAATTGAAAGAAATGAACAAGATCATTTCTATGTTTATTATTACCTTGTTTCTCTATAGCAACATGGAAAATGCAAGAAGTAATGATACAAGTGAATCATTTGAAGCTCGAATAAGTCGGATGGAACAAATGATGGCAGCTTTAACAGAATCCTTGAGACAATAACCCTTGCCCCCTCGCCTCCGTGGGTACAAAATGAGCTGGATAACAATGACATTATAAATCTAACTTAGAAGTTTATAAAGATGAAACTGCCAACTTTCTTAGGCTGTATAGAACCCTTAAAGGCAGAGACATGGTTACACGAAATGGAGAAATTATTTGAAGTTTTTCCCCGCACTGAGACTCAGAAGGTTTTGCTGGTCACCTATACTCTAAAAGATGAAGCTCGAAGATGGTGGTTGATAATCCGAAATAACAATGAGAACATGACATGGGCACAATTTAATGAGATCTTCTACGACAAGCACTTCCCTCAATGCTTCCAGGACCAAAAGGTTTTTGAATTCCAAGAACTTAAGCAAGGCAACATGTCTGTAGCCCGAGTATGAGGCTAGATTCACTGAATTAGCCCAATTTGCTCCTCACATGGTGGATACAGACTACAAGAAAGCTCAAAAATTTGAAGGGGGATTGGACCTGGATGTATTTGAACAAGTAGGCATATCTTGAAATTGCCTACATATATGAAAGTACTTGACCAAGCATTGATGGCAAAGGCCACATTAGTAGCAAAGAAATAATCCAAAGCACTAACAACTGAATGGAGAGGGAAAAGATTTGGATTTAGTTTCAAGAAGGACAGTTCTTTTGTTACGAGTAAGAAGCAAAATACGGGGTCTATTAGTAGTTTAAGTCAAAGCAGCGAGTCTACGCCTATCTGTGCCCAATGTTGAAGGAGACATAGAGGGGTTTGCCATCAAATATCTGGTGCTTGCTTCTGGTGTGGCAAGACGAGCCATATGATAAGAGATTGTCCAATTGGGTCAGAAAATGCCAACCGTCCTGTAACAAGTTCAACTGGATCTACTTCTACATCGAGGCCTAATGTAAGAATGAATGTCAGGGGTAATATTGGAAATGAAACATTGAGACAAGAAAGAGTATTCACACTAGTGCTTGGGAATGTGCAGAACACCGAGTCCGTGGTGTCAGGTATAATTTCAATTTGTGCCTAAAATGCTTATGTCTTGATAGATTTTGGTTATATACACTCTTTTGTGTCGCATGCCTTTTCCTAGAAATTAACCAGACCTTTAGAACCCATGAATTATTTACTGTCTGTATCTACACCATCTGGAGGTTCTATGATGTGTGCTTATGTTTATCCGTCATGTGATATTATGATTTGTGATGTGACATTATATGTTGATTTATTACCTTTGGGAATTGATCATTTTGACTGCATATTGGGTATGGATTGGTTAACGAAGTACTGTGCAACTATTGATTGTATGAATAAAACTATTATATTTCGACCACCTAATATGCCTGAATTTGTATTTGTTGGGAATGGGGTAATTCCTCCATGTGATAACTTCCCACAGTGATAACAAGCCCCTGTCGCACGATAGCATACACTTCCATATTTCCTTCCACATGTAGTACAAGCTGGTGTTGAATTACCACTTTGGCTTGAACCAGTATTATTAGAACTCCCCGACTTGAACTTCTTGTTCGTTGACGTAGTTCCCTTGCTAAAATTCTATTTTCTGCCTTTCCATTCGAAGTTTTGTTTACGGCTGACCACATTTCTCTCCGCTATTAGTGCCCTATCAAGTACATCCACATACGTCGGCAATTTGAGTACATTAATCTTATCTAGAATTGGGTCACGTAAACCTCCTTCGAACTGTCTAGCCTTCTTGTAATATGTGTCTACCATGTGGGGTGCAAAGCGAGCTAATTTTGTAAACTGAGCTTCATATTCAGTAATTGATTTATTTCCCTGCTTGAGTTCCATGAATTCAGTTGCCTTTCTATCTTGCACACATTGGGGAAAATATTTCTTATAGAAAATTTCCAGAAAACGAGCCCAAGTAACATCCTTATTATTATCTCGCACTAACATCCACCAATGTCTGGCATCATTTTCTAGGGTGAATGCTGCCAGTTGCACTTTCTGAGTTTCGGTACATGGGAATACTTCAAACAACTTTTCAATGCCCAAGACCCAAGCTTCGGCCTTCAATGGTTTAATTCCGCCATGAAATACTGGTGGCTTCATCTTTTTAAATTCCCTGGTCAAGGCAATAGTACAGGTCTCCGGCTGGCACCCTGGAGCTGGAGGTGGTACAGGCATTGGAGGTGGGGAATGTGGTGGTTGTTGTTAATGTTGTTGCCATTGTTGTTGTCGTCTTATGGCTTCAGCCATGTCTTGCATCATTCGTTCCATTCTATCCAGTCTTGAGGAGGTTGCCTCTTCTATTTCATCACATCTGGTTCTCACCATTTTTTATATGAAACTTTGTATTATAACAAACACAATTTATATATGTATATATAATCATGTACGCAGTTGCATATATAATCATAAGGTTATCTCACTTAACATATGAAATCCACATGAATGCATTCCTGAAGTCTCTTCTAGATCCTCTATAGCTCAATGGACAAGTGAATGAGATATAACTCGTGCTTTAATACCACTCTGTCACGACCCTAAATACGCCCCTATAGGTTTAGTGTCATGACCGGCCAGTAATCATAGATTACCTATGGCCTCTATACAAATAAACCTTTAATATAAAGTACAGGGCTTAGCGGAAGTCTAAAATGTTATATCATTCATCCATTGAGCCATGCATATATGAGGAGAGCAAAAATGTTAAGCAAGGTTTTGTTGCAAAGTTATACCCAACATAAGTACAAATTCATATCTTACAAAATACAACCCCAACTATGAACAAATACAAAACCATTAAACCACACAAAAGGGGTTCGACAAGCATGGCTCCACCCAAGCCTGATTATTGCACTTGGAAGCTCCACAAAAGGCTGACCCGGGTAAACTCAAGGCTATCTAACTCGGATGTTCAGTTTGCCCACCTACAATTACATATATAAATAAATAGTGAGCTAGAGCCCAATGAGTAATAACAGAATAAAGAGGTTAAATGAATGAAGTTCGACAATAGTACAAAAACATGTCTTACAATTTTGAAATGAATCTTAAATCCTTTTCAAAGGGAGGCATTCGCCATATTAGATCAAATTCACCACAAAACATTTTGATTAGCAATAATAGCATCTTTTTGTAGTAACAAACGCCATTCTTAATATTATATGTGGCACATCCATGAAGTGACAAATATTATTCCATTGATAATATATCATACCGGCTATGGTATTGTTACCCCCAGGCAAGGGCCTAGCCATGGTATTGTTACCCCCAGGCAAGGGCCTAGCCATGGTATTATTACCCCCAGACAAGAGCCTAGCCATGGTATTGTTACCCCCAGGCAAGGGCCTAGCCATGGTACTATTACCCTTAGGCAAGGGCCTATATTCAATGGATGCCACAATATTGTTTCAAAACAGAACTTCATTCATTAAAGGACATAACATTTCAACAAGCCATGCTATCAATTATCAAATCATTTTAAGAATTCATTCAATCAACCACATATACATTTTGATAGCAATAACATTTTCGAAAGTAAAGTTAATTTGAACATATCTTTATAAGGTTATTACTCACAGTGATTTGCGGTGACACTAAGCCTCGGACGTCCACCTAAACGAAGCACATAACAAAGTACAAATAAAACTCCATTTCATTTTAATTCAATTCTCGTTATGCGTCTCTAACTTATTGTATGATTATCAGAGTCCAAATGGTGCCTAAGAATGCTTGGAGTGGCATGAGGATGCAAATATGCACTTAAAAGAGTTGGTAAAATTTCGCTGAAAACAGGGTCTCTGCTTGAGCGCAACTTCCTACACTCGAGCAAGGGTTCAAAAACAAAGGTGGTCGCTCGAGCGGTCTATAAAAGTACTGGATACATGAAATTCCCGCTTGATGGTCGCTCGAGCAGAAAACTAAGAAAAAATGTCCTCGCTCGAGCACCACTTTGGTCGCTCAAGCGAACTGTAAAATTTCAGAACTTCTGGGAGCCCGAATTCCACGCACGAGCGTGGACTCTCTCGCTCGAGCGGATAGCACGAATTTTGGAATTTCCAGAACTGTGTTTGAAGTTCAAACATGGTCATTTATTCAAAATCATGGTAATTTCCCAACCAATGACTCCAACCTCAATTTATAAAATAAGTTTAACTCAATTTGAGTGTACATTTCTCCAAAACATGTTCAAAATATGATCAAGTGACATGAGAAGCATGAAATAATGAAGGGTTCTCCACAGTAGGGTCTAAATGTGCCATGCATGTAGGAATTTCATGAATTCTAACTCAAATTATGTATGCATGTAAGCAACTCAACTCTATTCTTCCATTTTTATGATACTTATAGCTTATTTTCTTCAATAACATGCCAATGAGTTCAAAAATGAGAGGAATTCAACTACTATATGCCATAACTACATGAATTAGTGATGAATGCCACACCTAGTGTTGAATTCAAGTGTATTATGGCCCCAATCTTTGAATCTTCCACTAATTCTCTACAATTCTCCTCTTTCTCTCTCTAAATATTGAATTCTCCTATCCTCTCTCTCAATTCTCAGTTGAGTGTGTATATAAAAATGAGCTCATAAGCTTAATTTGGGTCTTATATAGGATGTGATTAAGTTAGCCTAATCAAATGTGGTTAAGATGAATTAATTAGACTTAACTTTAACTAATTCAATGAGTTTATTCTAATTATTTTGATCCAAATCAAACATCAATTAAAGTTGCCATAAAATTCTAAATATTCTAATTAGCCTATTGGGCTAGTCAATTTCAATTTCTGAAGCCATTTAGGCTCACAATTTCCGACTCTAAGTTGTCAATTTAAACAGATATTCCATATATCAACAGATAATTATAGAATTGAACATGTAATCACATAATCAAGCACATAATCATGCAATTAAACTTATTTAAATTATATAATGTACTAGTTTGGAGGTCAGGGTCATCACAAAAATAGACCTTAGATCCGGGTATCACCAGTTAAAGGTCAAGGAAGAGGACATAGAGAAAACTGCATTCAGAATTAGATATGGACACTATGAATTTTTGGTAATGCCATTTGGGATAACTAATGTGCCTGTGGTGTTTATGGATATATTGAACAAGGTATTCAAACAATTTCTCGATGAATTTATAGTTATGTTTATTGATGACATCTTGATTTATTCTAAAAGCAGGGAAGAACGTGAACAATATCTAAGAACCATTTTACAGATTTTGAGAGAGAATAAGTTATACGCTAAATTGTCCAAGTGTGAATTCTGGCTTAACAACATAGCATTTCTGAGACATGTGATTAACAAGGATGGCGTATTAGTGGTTCCACAAAAAATCGAAGCCATTGTAGACTGGCCAAGACCAACCAATGTGTCAGAAATCAGAAGCTTTCTGGGACTTGTAGGTTACTATCGCAGATTCGTGAAAGACTTTTCAAAACTTGTTAGGCCACTAACACAGTTAACACAGAAAAATATACTATTTGATTGGACTGAGTAGCAGGAATAAGCTTCTAGGAATTGAAGACTAGACTAGTAACCGCACATATCCTGACATTGCCTAATGATACTGATGGGTTTCAAATTTACAATGATGCTTCATATAAAGGTTTGGGATGTGTACTCATGCAAAATGGTAAGGTGATTGCTTATGCCTCGCGACAACTCCGACCAAATGAAAAGAACTATCCAACCCATGACCTCGAACTTGCAACTGTGGTTTTTGCACTAAAGATTTGGTGCCATTATCTGTACGGAGTGACTTGTGAAGTGTATACTGACCATAAAAGCCTCAAATATTTATTCATCTAAAAAGAACTAAACATGAGATAGAGAAGATGGATGGAATTGATAAAGGATTATGATTTACAGATTCTGTATCATACGGGAAAAACCAATACCGTTACAGATGCATTAAGTAGGAAATCAATCGGGAATTTGTCATGTTTTCTCATCGGTCAGAAAGAATTGTTGTATGACTTAGACAAGAATGAAATTGAAATTGTACTGCGTGAACAAGGCGAGATCTTAGCCGCCATTTCTGCCCAACCTCTAATCATTGAAGAGATTAAGGAGAAACAACTAGAAGATGCATTCTTGAAGAAAATTGTTGATGAGATTGATTCAAAACTAAAACCAGGATTTGTGTTGGAGAACAATGTGTTGAAATTTCAGAATCGATTTTGTGTGCTAGATTGTTTTGATTTTGTGTGCCCGATCGCCCAATAGTTGATTGTCTAAGGATATCAGGAGCCTTAGCCAAACCTAAAGATTAAGAGTTAGTTAAGGCCCACCTCCTAAAATAATGCCTTATCCATACTAAGTTTCTTATTATGAAGGATCACATGAGGTTTGAAGAGCTTGATAAATCAACAACATGCTAAAATAAAGGAGCCATTTTTTTCCAAAATAATGCAAAGTGGCTTTTGGGTTTCTTATGGATAATATACGTGGCAACTTTGGAAAGTTTAGTGGAATAAGACAAAGCTTCCAAGAAGGAATCAATTTTCTCAACTCAAGGCAAGTTGGGTTTTTAGGGTTTTATGAGACACGTGGCGGCTTGAGAAATAATGAAGAATCAACCAAAAGCTACAAAGATGGAGCAACAGTCGTTATAGTGAAGGTGGCCATCATGGGACACATGTCATAAGGAAAGAGTTGCCACGTTTTTGGTAGTTGAGTAAGAATTAGAAGTATTTCAACATTACAAAAGGGCTCCAAAGATAATATTTGAAGGGGGTCCAGCTCCAAACAACTCAATCAAGAGTCTATCTACACATTTATCTTAGCTTCATAGCTTTTATCATAACTTTTATAGCTTTATCTTTCATTCAAGCAATTCAATTCTTAGCAATTAATTGTTTATCTCAATTTATCCTTAGATTAATTATTGTACTTTATTTATCAATCAATGCAAGTTTCAATTCTAATTTAGTTATGTTTAGCACCTAATAAATTTATTGAAAATCCTCTTCATTGGGACAAGATCTGAATTAGTGGCGGTTCCTCTAAACCACACGCACTCATTTCCATATGTTAGAAGTTAGAAATATTCATGCACTCTTATACCTTAGATTAGGTTTACAAGTCTTGGCACGCCCGCATTCAATCTTAATTAACACAAGCCTACATATTTGCCCCTTGGATTTTCTAAGTGGTAAACACAAACTTA